CGGTCGCACTGGTTCAAAATCCTGACGAAGTGTGTGTATGTGTGTGTTGACCTTTTGGGGTTTCCTGGTTGTGTTGATTCATTGTGGTTCGTGGCGCAGCATGTGATGTGAGCTGCAAAGTTGCAAGGCCCTAGTCAGCCCAGCGCAGCAGTTGGCCATGCTGGGTCGCGCCGTTGGTGAGTTGAGGGCAACTTGTCATTTTGCCAGATGACACCACCTCAACTGGGCTAACGCGGGTGGTGGGCATGGCGGTTCGACCCTGTATAGCGTGGCTGCGAGCCGCGAGCGCAAAGAGGCAGCCCCAAGTGCACAGCGAAAGGAGACCTTTGTGACCAATACAATCAATATAAATATGAGTGCGCTTGAATATGTGAAGCGTGGCGTCTTTTCTCGTGTCGGCTTGTTCTGGCTTGTGTCGTTCCCCGAAACCCTGTCAATGTGAGATGGCGCACATCGCACCATTGGACATACTCGTAGCAGGTTTCGTCCTTGACAGCGGCAGCCGCGGTTAAAAACTCTGACGAAAGAGTCGTAAACGTGTTTCACGGGCTCAGGGGGTACTTCTGTAGGGACGTTGCTTTTCTGACGGAGCATTTGTGCATTGACCCTGCGGATTTCTTTGCTGTGTTGGTTCGTCGTGGTTTGCGGTGCAGCATCGCACCGCACTGAACCATGCTGGGCTACACCGTTGGCAGAGAGGTGGACAATGCACACGACTTGCCATTACCTGGGCTTTCTGCCAGATGAAAGCACCGCAAATGGGCTAACGCAGGTTGTGACGCATGGTAGTTAGATCTTGCATAGCCTTCATGGCCATGTAATACGGCGCACGAGGTCTTGTTGTTGATGGAGGCAGTCGTTGGCAAAAAGGTTTGACGAAGCAGTTGTCAGTTGTCGCCAATTTTGCCACATGACAACACGACAAGGGGGCTCACGAGCCACACAGGAAATTCATGTTACATGCCCGTTGCGCACCCAGCGTGGTGTTCGCTCTTTGTGGCTGGGATGTGCTCTTGTGGGCCAAGAGTCTTACCATGTGCAAGTGGTCATCTCGTTTAGATTCGGTTTTTTGTGGCGCCATTGCCAGGTTCGCATGCTATGTTTAGCACGCCACCACCGCGTCGAGTTTCATGTTGCATCTTGAAGCTAGCGTTTCGACACAGTTTTGTTCCACCGGTGGTGATATGTGGGCGATGACACAGATCATATAATTCACGCCAACGCATACCCCGGATTCAAAGGCCAAAAGCTGGAGATGTCCATGGGCGGCGTCTTGGTGCAGGAAGTGTTCCACCTGAAGGCGGAAGTTTGTTTCTTGGCGTTCCATGTTCTACCGCAGTTCTTTGCGATAAGCAGTATATGGTGCACCGGTATACCTGGTTTTGGGATTGCAAATAGGAGTCTAGGTCCAACCTAGGTTCGAGCAATGGATGCTATCACAAAAATGTTGGATTTGGGGATGGTTGCTAGGGTATTATAACGGCTTCTCTGCAGCTTGCGATCACTTTAGCTGAAAAGTTTCTTGAGCGTTGGGATTTGGCCAGTTTGTTATCCGGATGTCGTGCACAAAAGCATCGCAAACCAAGCTTTCTAATTGGGTTCATATCATGTAGTACCTTCTGTAGCAAAGCCGACATGTCGAAATTTCATATGTCGTCGCAGGAGATTTACTTCCAAGTCTATACCACTTCAGTATAGAATCGTTTTGACGGAAGCCCTGCTTGTCTGTACCTTGCGTGTCTGTAACCCTAAGGCCTTGACCCCAAACCCCTAAACCCCAAACCCTATAAGCACAGAATTCTTAAGCCGATCCTTCAACGAACTGTTGCAAGCGGTGAGGAAGAAGGCAGTGCAGATGCCATCTTGCTCGTCGATCCGAGCGGGCAGAACAACCTCGCCGTGAATCAGGCTTGCTTTGGGAGAGAGTGTCGGGTTCAGGGTGCAGCGGTTTCTGGTTGAATGAACCAAAGCTGAGTGTATTTGTGTTGAAGTATCTTGTGCAAAAATGTGCAGTACAAGCACCATGCTCCCTATGCCATGCTATGCTAGTCCTTCAAGACTAATTCTTGAGTTCGGGCTCAAGGTGCGCAGGTCACGCTGTAATTGGAGGAGCTTGGGCTTGAGAGCTAAGGTTTTCAGGACCGTGCGATTTTCCACTCTGCCTGGGCAAACTGACTCGCAGCCTGTGTCTGTGCCTGCCCTTGGCGGACGAGGTTTGGTGACAGCATAATGTAGGGGCCTGATTAAGAGACCTTGGGTCTTCATTCGGGTTCTAGCGAGAGGACCAGGGTCTTTGAATCAGCTTTCTACCATAGACCGCATGTCAGGGAGCAGATTAGTGGCCCGTCATCCCAAAGTTCCACTGAAACCCGCCGAATGTCCTGAAGCCCAAAACCCTCTCCCATAAGCCGGTAAACAGCTTTTGGGGAGATCTGCAAGCAGCATGAAAAGGGCCCCTTAAAACAATCACCGGTAAAACCCTAAACCAACCTAAACCCTTCGTCCGATGTCAGCTGTACTGACCCCCAGGCTTGTCACAAGCTTGCCGTGAGCGTGTAATATCGAGATCGGATCATTCGTAATCGAATTCCCTTCTGAGGCCGATATATTAAAAGCACCCCAAAACCCAAAACCTCATTCTGATTGCCAAGGCCCCTTTTTTTCGCAGCCCCCTTTTCATCCGGAGGCCCCGATTGGAGGGATGAGCAAGACCATGAGATCAGTTCTCCCTGGCACGGACAAGGTCGGCCGGACCTTGCCCAACCAGCTTGAGGCTTTACATTGGGATGTGGGGAGTTTCCGAAAGTTAGGGGTACCTTTTTTGGAGGGTCCCTATAACAAGGATCCTACTGTTTAGGATACTATATTAGGGTCCCCTATTTCCGGAAACTCCCAGATGTACTCTTGGGTATGAGTCGCTTGCCCTTTGCTCGGCTTCGAAGCTCCGAGTAACGCTGAATGAAAGATATCAAAGCACTGAGGGCTCTTAGTGTCTGTGGATCTGCTTCGCATTGGTTCAGGGTTGAGGGCTTCAAGGTTGAGCTCTGGTGGTTTAGCGACTTGCGTACTGCGCCCCTGCAGGCATCGAATACCTTGGCTCTGATCGGTGCCACCTACCCCATCCCAGCAGGTGGCTGGGATGGCTTGCATTCTGTGTACCACCGGAGCGCAGTCCTCGCGATGAAACAGTTAGCAAGTGCTGTGTTTGTACCCTAAACCCTCAACCCTAAACTCAAACCCTACATTGTAAACTCTAAACCTAAACCCCAAACCCTGAACTCTAAACTCTACACCCTAAAGCCAAAAAAGCTTCTGAACGTGACTTCTCCGTTGATTTCGCCAGGAAAGGCCGGATCAGCCCGGCACTCGGTCTGTTTGCTTTGGGAGCATCTCAGAAGTTCGAAGAACATCTCTAAGTCCTAAAGTTTAAGGTTTAGGGTTTGGGGTTGTGCGCCCTAACGGAGGGGCCTTAAAATTAGAATAGCGTTTTGGGGTATATTACATTCCCCTATATCAAGCCCTGAACCCGAGAGGACAGGGTCCGGACAAGCAAAGCCCTGGACTCAGTGCCAAAGGTCGTGCGATTCTATTCGCACTTCCTGAGCGGTGCAATGACGAAAAACAAGCAGGCCCATGGGGGACGACGGCCGCGTCAAAGGGGTGCTTCTGGGAGGTACTATGAGGGGTGGTACAAAGGGTTTCTCTAAGCGCTACTAAACAGGTTCCGAAAGGAGTTCCGGAATGGTTCAGAGATCTGGATGGGCAAGCGGCGTTGCGCGCGGCCTTTCCGTACTACGGTGAGCTTCTTTTCATAGATGTTATATATTGTTAAGGGTAATGGTACTTGTAGTGGTAATGGTACTGGCACTGGCAATGGTAATGGTAATAGTACTAGTGGTAATGGTAATTGTGATCGCAGTCGTAATATTAATAATGTCTGCGTAAGGTGTATCGAGAAGAAGCTGCTGCCTCAGTAGAGGCAGGTGTCTCTTTGTTGAACCTTCGTAACCACCACACGGAAAGCTGGGTTTTGGATGGCGTTGTGTTGTCCGTCGTGTTCTTCTACAGGCGAGGCTGGGAACGGAAATGATTTGTGGCCCTTTCAAGCAAAGCTGTCCGCACCATCGTCTTTTTGCCTTGAGGCACCTGATTTTATCAGTTTTCTTCAGGGTCAGCGCGTGCAAAGGGACAGCACATCTGCTGCTAGTACGGCGGTGCCTATTTATTGTGGCCATGGATTCATCGTTTCGTGTTTGTAAACCATAACCGATGACCTTCGTAGAGCCCGTTATGCAACAGAGCGCTTTGCACCAGCAGCCTGCAAGCGCCAGGGATACGCCCTGAACTTCTCGCTCGGGAAAGCCCTGCATCAGCTCGGAACTCGAATTTCAGGATTTAGGGTTTGCGGCTTGGGGTTTAGGGGTAGGGCCTTAGGGTTGAGGGTTCGGGGTTTAGGGGTTTCAGGGTTCAGGGGTGCAGGGTTCAGGGGTTTAGGGTTTAGCATTTGGGGCATCAGGGCTTTTCCATTTGCTGCTAAAGAGTAGAAGTGCAGATTAGGATACTGGGTTCATGCAAGGATAGAAGAAAGAGTCTTCTCTCTGGCGCCTCTTATCCGGAAATGCCCCACCCAACATCACATGAGGACGCTGACTTTCGTGGAAGACGATGAAGCACAGATGCCGGGCGAGACACCAAGTGATGCCGACATGTTTCAACACCGAAACCCCGAAATCCGAACCCTAAGACCCAAAAACATATTGAAGGCCTTGAGCTCTTGTTTAGGGCTTATCTGGGGCGGTGGAAGATGCACCGACGAACAAACCTGCTGTGCGGTAGCAGCTGGGAGGCAGTCGGCTTTTGGCCATCCAGGGGGTTTAGAACATTGGACCAATGCTCAGACGACATTCGTTGAAGCACGATCGTTCAGACCCATTAGGATCCTTGAAGCCGGCGTTTGTGGAAGTCTCAACGGGGCCAAGTCTTCTGAGCGACCTGTTGCCATGATGCATCCGGCTGGTTCAAAAGCAGGTAATCACAGTCCCGCTGCGACTTCTTTTCAGACCCAGTGCATGCTTGTAGTTGGTCTCGGATGCCGGCATCTGCACCTGCCGCGTTGGCGGCAAGTCTCACGGCTCACATCCTGGGGTGAAATGACGCGTCAGCTATTGACCTTGCGGGCAGCCCAATTCCCCGATGCTCTGGCGCAAGAGTTATCTGCCACCCAGGCCGCCTATGTTGGTGATCCGCTTTTCGGGCTTGAAAGCACTCTCAAAGGTCGTGTGCTGCAGCAGGCCATTGCGGAGACCTTGTCAAGCTTGGATTTTTCGACTCCTGTACAAGAGGCAGTGCCCGGCTTGTGCGTAAATGGCAACACAAGAGCAACACACCAGAGTGAGTTTGACTTCATGCATGGCGAACGCAGGGTGGAGTGCAAAGGGACGAGCTTGGCCTGGTCAGCAAAAGGACATTGGCACGCCACCTGGACGAGAATCAAATTGGGCAAGGCCCTTTTCGATGATTTGTTGCTCGCTCTTCACTCGCCAGGTCGGGTAGATGTACTACGACACGACGGAATGGCAGGTGTCGCAACTCAAGGAGTTCGAACGGAAATTCATGGTCATGCGGTCAGGGTGCATGGCAGCCGTGGGCTGGAAGACCCGAGCGAGGCTTGCCAAGAGATTGTTCAAAAGATGCAGGAGGCCCCCAATTCTTGCCACCATATTGGGAGCTTGCCGACTGACAGTGGAGTTATTGAGCGATCTTTGGCGAAGGAGAGGGCAAAAAAGAGAAATTCCATGTCGTCTTACTGGTACAAAGGAATACCACTGTCTGACTACAGCCCATCTTCACGTGGCCTTCGCTTGGAAAAAGTGGCATGTGCGATCGATCGGATGCTGCACCCGAGCAGCACCTTCAGTCGGACCTTGCCGACCTTGGAACAGCGACCTGGTGCGCGGTGCGGATGTGCTGACTGGGCACGAGATCGCACGCAAGTAAAGTTCAAGTCCTCAAGACTGAGCTGGCACTGCACAAAGAATGTGTGGAGGGCACACTTTGCTGGTATCAAGTTTGCTACCCGCAGTTTTGACGAACTCTGGCTTGGCCTGTATAGCCCCTTGGGTTTTTATTTGTTTCAGTACTCTGGCACGATTGGGCGCTCAACGACAGGTGCATCAACAGATGTTGCGGGCCATGACATTGTGGTATACGGGCCGAGTCATGAGGAGAACCCTCTTGCTGCCTGCGAGGTAATAGTGCGGAAGTTGAAAGCGAGTGGCTGCGAGCTGCTTGCCACCGTTAGCTGGTGATGAGCCCACATTTCCACTTGCATAATCTGTGCTCGTGTTGGATACAATGTTGCATACAGAAAAGGTCGCCATTAAAGCTCAGTCCAGGCTTGCATGGAATCATCTTGCGATGCCTGCCTGCCAGGTGAGAAGCTGCCAGAAGTCTGTCGGCATCTTAGACGAGTCAAGGGAGTCAGAGGCGAAGCGTTCAGGATGCTGAGTCCTTTAGGTGTCTTGCTCGTTGGCCAAGAGGGACACAAGAGTCAGAAGAAAGAGGCTCCATGGGCTAAATCTGCCGACCAGTACTTTGGAACCAGCTAGGCCTATGTGATCGGAGCTTTGCCGATCTTTCTGTTTGTATCCCGAACCTTGGGATTGGACTGTGTAGACCATCCAGAACTCTGCAGTGGAGCCTCGGTCGCATCGTGCGCGTTCTGGACTGGGGACAGCTTCGCTGGCGAGGCCTGTACGTGCTGTCGCTAGCCGAGCTGAAGAAGGTTTTCGACAAGTGCGCCGAGGCATCCATCTAGCAAGACAGCAGGCTTTCACTGAAACCTGAACTGGTTCAGCTTCAGGAAGGTACCGAAGCATTTGGAGGGTGGTAAATGCCCCCACCTTCAGTAACTAGCAGAAGCATAACCAGTGGACAGTGATGCAGATAATCACAAACCTGCTGAAGAAACCTGATGAGCATAACAAGATGACGGCGAGCATCATGGTGGTACTGTTGATGATTGAGGAGGATGGTGATGACGACCGCGGCGATTGTTGTAATGATGCGACCAGTATGACCGTGCTCATGGTTGTGATGGTTGTTGTCGATATACCGCCTTTTTTGACACCGACCATTAGACGCCGTTGGTTCCGGGTTTTCAGGCTTCGAGTGCTTGCTGACTTTGGAGGCCACATCTCCACCTTCGAACGAACAGTTAAAGTTAATGCCTTGGCTTTGATGATGCGAGGCTAATCCTTAATCACCAAGCCTATGTAGAGGTTTGCATAGTTGATGGTTATAACATTATATCACTTTGCTACAGCCCCTACATAACTATACGATACTGTACCACCAGGCTGTTCAGTGGTACACTTTTTTACTTTCAGGTTTCTGGGTTCCTATTATACAATAAGAAGCCTAAAAAAGGTACATACTTTTTCCCAGTGGGTTACTGAACAGCCTAGACCATGATATACCCCCCCCACCCCGAGAGCCCGACAAGGCGGGCATCCTCGAGGGCGCGTCCACTTGGGAGGCCGGCGCTCTCCGGGGGCTTCGTTTCCTGGAATGGTGCTGTACTTACCTTTGGTTAGTAGGGAATGGTGGAATGGGGTAGAATTGTAACCACTATTACTACCATTCTTAAACTCCCTACTAACCAAAGGTAAGTGTAGGGTGCAGGGCTTGAAGCAGGGTTCGTGGTGTGCTGTTTCGGGTTCAGGGTGACGTCGGTTCCTTGCGAATGCACGTGAGAGTGTGCAGCGGTTGGCCATGCCACCGGCCGAAGAACACCGAGCAACCACTGAGTCGGCACTACCTCAAACTACCAAACCCTACTTTTTTGTAGGTTCGTCTTATAAACCCTAGTATGGAATTTATAGGGACCCTACAAAAAAGTAGGTTTTGGTAGGTTAAGGTAGAGTTCAGCAGAGAGCTTGCTCAGGAGGTGGAGAAGAAGTCGGAGCTCTGCTTCTCAAGATGTCCGATCCCCCGTCCCTGCTGCGCTGAAAGTATGGAGTTCCGAGGTTATGAGGCCCTAAAAACTAAACCCTAAACTCTAAACCCTAAGCCCTAAAACCCTAAACTCGAAGCCCTAAGCCATAAACCCTAAAATCAACTTTTACCGAGGTCCGGATCCAGCCTCCGAGCCCAAGGAGGTCGTTCTGGAGCTGTGCGGGGCTCGGCCCCGGTGTGAGGGATTGGAACCCTTAAAGGGGTGTAAAAAGACGAGGAACCCTTAAAAGAACCCTTAAAGGAACCCTCAAAGGAACTCTTGAAGGAATCCTCAAAGGAGGCCTTAAAGGTGTCAGGTTTTCAAAAAGATTCCAAAGCGCCCTTAACTTAAGCGTTTAGGGTTTAGGGTTCAGGATATAGGGTTTAGGGTTCGGGATATCCCTTTTCAAACTCTGGAGTTTGTTGGGGTTCAGTTGAAAAAGACTCCAAAAAGCTTGAGAAAAGGGATGTCTCTTGGATTTCAAACTCTGGAGGCTTTGGGGTTTGGGCTTCAGGGTTTAGAGGGTTTGGGTTTAGAGTGTCTTGTTTAGGCTTCATGGAATCATGGAGTTTAGGAGTTTAGGGTTTGGGGAGTGTGGGGATGTGCTTCCAGATTCGGGGTTTCGGGTTTACGGCTCAAGTTTGCGCTGAGGCTTCCAGCTTTGGGCTCTCTGATGGGCGCCTGCAAACCCTGATAACAACCCTCTATAGTAGCCTTTGAAGGAACCCATATATGCATTCTCAACGGAACCATTAGAGGGACTCATATTTTAACCCTTAATTGGCTTGCAAACCCTGGAGCGCTTCGCCCATCGACCAAAAGCACGCGATCGGTCATACATAGACATCTGGTCTATGATTGGCCTGAACCCAATAGTAAATCCTACTCCCGAAACCCCAAACCCTAAAGCCTAAGCTCTATACGATCCGCAAGCTCCACGCCTGAAGCCCGAAAAAGGAATCCTAACGACCCAACCCTAAGCCCTAAACCCCGAGACCCGGAATTGCAGCTTACTTGGAGGATCATGGGGACTTAGCAAGTATATACGGTTATAAGTACTTTAATTGGGTCATAAGCAATTGTAATTACAGTTTACTGCATTTTCGCCTAATAATACGTAACCCTAATTACTACTGGGTTTAGGGTTTAGGGTTTAGGGCTGTTGATGGACAAAATCCTGCATTACAAATTATAAGGAATGTACCACAGTTCCCATAGTTTAGAGTCCTTAGGGTCATGCAGGATTTTGTCCATCAGGAGTACGTCCGAGGATCCTTCAAGTCGGATCCTTAGCTGCTGTCGCAGGCGACACCGCGTTCGAGCGCCGAGCCACTCGGAATGGCCGCTGCCGCGGGCACACCGGGAAGGGCTTAAGGGAGCTTGTCTCTACGAAAGACTGTGTATGTATATATATATATATATATATAGAATATATACACACATTATACAAATAGAAACAGTATTAAGTTTCATTTAATTAAAGTTGTATTGTATTATGTTACTATACATTGTATGTTGCATGGTGGCTGTTGCATCGCATTCGTTTTGATCGTCTGTTTCTCTGACTCACACGCCATACCTTTCTATCCATTCAAGTAGTTCTGACCAACTAACTAGCTGACCGACTGACTGACGGACGGACTGACTGACTATAGTATAAGGGTCTGATTAAATAATTACAACTAGTATCCCCTTGCGATCCCCAGTCTATTGTTTATATAGTGTACCCCAAAAGAGTTATTGGAATTATTAACGCCCCTATACTAAACCCTTATAGGAGCAAGTTTACATAAGCCCTAAACAAAAGCCCTATCCTACTTACGGACCTATCGAAGCTTGTTTTGGCCCCTATAGCAGCAGAGTTTGCAAGTATGGACCAGCTTCCCTGTCTTCAGATGTTGCGCATAGAAGCTTGGAGGCTTGGGTTTGGGGTTTCGGGTTAGGGTTTCGGGGGTCGGGGTTCAGGGAGTTGCAGAAAGCCAACTTTCACCGACAATGAAGCTACGGTGCACTTTTCACTGATGACAGTATGTAGATGGCACCGAAGAAGGAAGCCATTGCAAGGGCACCCTCAGTTTGAGCAAAGGATTGCCGAACGAATGCATCTGCTCTGTGCTAAAGACGTCAGAGAAAGGACACCTGACATATGGAAAAGCATTGCAAGCATGCTGAGCTGGGTCCCTGGCCAGGACTTGCCGACTCGAGCATCTGAAGTGGTGACGTTGACTGCACCAGAGAGCCAGTGAGGTTATGTGATATGTTCCATAGTGTACGTTGTAAACCATACTGTATTTTGCACATCACAAAGGGACACAGTGCTCCCAAGGGCAAAGTGACAGGTGGTAATTATGTGTGGCGGAACTTGCCGCTGCAGCACCTGAGCACCTCTGGCCCACACCGGACTGCCTTTTGGTTCCTCCTGGTTTAGATGTTGCTTTTTGTGAATTTAGTGTTACTTTGCTTCCTCATCCTGCAGCTGAAGATTGCGATACTTAAGCTCCACCTCGGCAGACCAGAATGCAGTTCGAATGTTTCTGCCAAGCAGAACCAGCCACCCCCAACGGCTCGCGAGGTGTCCTCCATCAAGAACTTCGTAGTTGATTATTTGGGTGCTGCGCCTACTTGAAGTAAAGTAGGGTAGGGTAGAGTAGAGTATAGTAGTAGTAGTAGTAGTAGTAGTAGTAGTAGTAGTAGTAGTAGTAGTAGTAGTAGTAGTAGTAGTAGTAGTAGTAGTAGTAGTAGGAGCAGCAGCAGCAGCAGTAGTAGTAGTCGTGGTGGTAGTAGTAGTAGTGGTGGTAGTAGTAGTGGTAGTAGTAGTAGTAGGTGTAGTAGATGCTGTGGTAGAGTATAGTATGGTATAGTAGAAGACAATATAGTATAAGTATAATATGGGGTGCATCTAGGGTTTCCGTGCCTCTGTTGGACTGGAACGTCGTGAGCTCCGGGACAGTTTTCGCTTTTGCTCATGCACAACCTCCTCATGGCGTCGGTGCTGTAGTTTGAAGTCTTCGGTTCATTCATGTGTAGATCTGTCGATGCTGCGGAAGCTTCAACACTTGTGCGAAGTACCCTTGCAAGCACGCTTTCCGTCAGCCTGTGCTTTCCTCAGAGTACCTCTTCCTGTACACATGCGATGCCGCAGTTTATCTCCAGGTCTTGAGGTGCAATTAGAGCGCAATACAGCAGTGCTTGGATGCCCGAGGCCCAGCGAAGCGGTCCCATGTAAAGCCTATAACCCTAAAGCCCAGGGGAATGTCCGTTTGCATGTCGCTCGATGTCGATGGCGGGATGTTGCGCACCCTTAAGGGCAGG